CCTGAATATGCATAATAAACAAATGTGCAGAATGCTTACTTTCACTTGCGCAGTAGCAGTTCCTGAATGCTGCCCCAAGAATATTGACTAGGGCTAGAAATAGAGCATATACTTCTCCTATACTGGCTTGTCCTAATTGGTTTTCTGCTAAAACCAGAATATAATTTAAAATCCTTCTCATCACATAAGAGGGCATCACTTTTAATCACATTTATAATCACATGAAGCTGGATGTTTAGACCTTTTACTCTCTCAGCTGTGTTAACACAGACCTGCCAGTTTCTTGAACTGGTTGTGATCAATTAATAATGTGCACTTTTTCCTACGTTTTCCCTCAACTTTAACTTTATAATAATAAGCTTTGATGCAGCACTCTGTAGACAGCCAACATTTTCAGCAGCGACCCTCTGTGGATTACCATACCTGTGAAGGGTATTAACGATGATCATTTTGACAACCGTCAATATTCAGTATTCTTGTCTGTGAAGGTTGTCAGTCATCCAGGTCATCGTAGTCTAAGGAACTTGGAAAGAAAAGCGTCTGGACTAGAACTGAAGAAGCTTCTCGGATGAGAGGTGAAACATCTTCAAGCCACTTAAAGAAGTCCAGACGCTTTTCTTTCCAAGCTCCTTAGATTCAGTACTCATAATCTTCAAATATTTTGAGATACATTAGTATATTCGAGTGTCTGTAAGTTTGTGACAGATGGAGCAAAAGAGCAAGCAAACCAGTGTGTGAAAGTGTGTAATACGATGAGGCTCCTTTTTCGTCAGCGCTAAATTGGGACAAGTGATCTAAGTAGAGCACTATCCCCCTGTGGAGCTCTGGCAGTCACTGAGCTGCACAAAGCTTCACTCGAGCAGTTGTTGTCCACCTTTTAGTCTTCTTTCTGAGCTGAAGATGCTGAGACCTACTGACTCCCCTGAGCTTATGTATTATTTAAACTGTCTGCACAGGGAACCCAGGAAGGTTGTGCTCCACAAGAGTACCACGGGCTTGGGCTTCAACATCGTAGGTGGTGAAGATGGTGAGGGCATCTTTGTCTCTTTCATCCTTGCGGGAGGACCCGCTGACTTGAGTGGAGAACTGAGGCGAGGTGACCAGATTTTATCAGTGAGTATGCAAGAGCCACTATACCCACAGAGATTTACACATAGTAACGTTTCAAAATATGTTTACGTTTTACTGAAATTATTGATGTAGAAATTCTGATGTCACCTGCAGTTTAATTCATTATGAAAAACCTTCACAGCTCAATAGCAGCCCTATTTGAGGGTCTTTACAGTATAAAGCATCCTGAGGCAGCTGTATTCAGGTTTTTATAGACCGAATTGAACTGAATATGCGAACTGCTTACAAACAAATCTGAATAAATATGGAAAGCTGTTTTTATTTGTTGCAGTCTGAATCTCTTTGTAATGCTCACACAAGTACAGGCTGACGTTTGTTAGATGTGTGTGTTCCAAGGACAATGATAAAGTGTGCAATAGTTCAGGTGGCCTAGATTTATCTTCTGCAGTATTGCTCCAGTATGATCACAGATAGGTGCTGTGTGTCATAGTTTATTAGCAGGTTTTTTAAATTAAATCTGTTAAATATGTGCATTTGTAATTGACAGCTATAAATACAAAACTAGTGTTTTTCATCTTTATTGCTTTAATTGTTAAAATAATTAATAATTAATGACAAAACAGAAATTTCATTCATTGCCAGCAAAAGCTGGGAAAGGGACAGTAAAGGACTGCTAATTTGTCTAATACTAAGAAAACACCCAGCAGAACATCTCACAGATAATTAGGTTATTCGGCAGCATGGGAGGATTAGGGGTAAAAAATAGCATTACATAGAGGCTAAGCCTTTCAGAAGGAAAGAAGGAGAAGGGGTTAAGATTGTGTCTGCAAGTTGTTTTAAAACATTGTTTTTAAATCTAAATTTGCAAAGAATGCAGAGATTTAATCAAATAAACATGTATAACCATCTAGTCATGGCATGTCTCTGAAAACTACTGTCAGGAAAGAGCCGTTTGATGCATCTACAATAAAAAAAAAACTGCCATCCAAAATAAAAATAAAACTTCTAAAGGGTCTTATCCTATTTGTAGACTAAGATGACTTTTAACTCTTTGTGGAAATGATTGAACGTGTGTTTTCTGAGCTAACAAGGAAGGGAAACATCCAGCTGTGCAAAAAACTTGCACATCTGTGAAGATACTTTTTATATTAAACATGTTGAACATTTGCTGCCATCCAGACAATCTCCTTTACAAAAGGCTCTGCTAAACCAACAGCATGGCTGCTTTAAAACCCAGAGTCCAGTCCCATCGGTCAATCGTCCCGATCTGTCACGTTAGTGGTGGATCGTGATTAAACTTCTAAACAAAAGGAAGCAGAAGCAGCTTGGCAGCTGAAATCAAATAAGAATGGAAAACATCTCTTTTAAAACTACAGTGATTTTAAAAATAAGTATTTAGTAGTGCTGTCAAAATTAACGCGTTAACGCAAATTAATCCGCCATCATGGTCAACACGATTAAAATTTTTAACGCAATTAACGCATCTTGGGTGCAGAATGACTCACAATCCCTAAAATGTTTCTGTTAACGCATCATTTCGGGCAGTTTGGCCAAGCAGAGTTACCTTCGCACAAATGGGCAGTTGATCTGGTAGTGACGGGCAGCTGAACCAATCAACTCAATATGGAAGATGATAAACGCACATCGGCCTCTCGATGGGAAATTTGAGTATTAAAAAAACAAGAAGACGGAACAGTCAACCGACATAAAGTCTTATGCACGTTGTACAAGAAGGAATTTTCATCGAAGCACTTCCAGCTTAAAAGATCACATTGACGTGAAGCATACGTTAGCCAGGATGCTGCTAGCACTTTGGCTAACGCGTCACCCAGCTTGGACAAACCACTCACGGAGCATCACGGACTCAGTAAGTCGACCTCGGACACATCGACTGACACAATCGCCAAGTGGATTGCAACAAACGGCTTTTCTCGAGTCTGTTTGCTCATGCAAAATGAAATGCGATTAATATTGAATAAAAATTATATTTAATCGTGATTAATCAAAATTAATCCAAAGTAACCCTGTGATGAATCTGATTAAACATTTTAAATATTTTGTTTGACAGCAGTTTGATATAATTATATATTAGTTTATACTTACCTAATAGTATATAGTTTAGCCTGTGCTAAAAGACTGAAGAAAACTATTCAAATTCTCTTTGAATTTAAGCATTTAACATTCTTTGTGTTTATACTTCATTATATTGCATAAATGTATTTTACAAGCTTAAATATAAAGTTGAAAAAATGTAATTGCAACCAGGCTTTTGATCAAGTAACTGCGATTCATTGCGATTAAAATTGTGAGATTAATTAGTTAATTTTTTTTATCTATTGACAGCACTCATATTTAGTTTTACACATTTAAATTTAAATCAAAATAATTAATGTTGCAGAATTCACATTTCCATTGAATTCAGTTCAATTCATTTTTATTTATACACCAAATCACAACAACAGTCGCCTCAAGGTGCTTTATATTATAAGGTAGATCCTAAAGTAATAGATACAGAGAAAAACCCAACAATCACATGACCCCCTATGAGCAAGCACTTTGGTGACAGTGGGAAGGAAAAACTCTCTTTTAACAGGAAGAAACCTCCAGCAGAACCAGGTTGAGTCTAATAACAGATTAAATGCCATGTTGAGGCTGTCATTTTTAGCATCTACATGGATGTTAAAATCCCCCACAATAATTATTTTATCTGAGCTCAGAACTAAATTAGATATAAAGTCTGAGAAATCAGACAGAAACTCTGTGTAAGGCCCAGGTGGACGATTGATGATAACAAGTAAGACTGGTTTCTGAGTTTCACAGCTGGGGTGGACGAGGCTAAGCATCAGGCTTTCAAATGAATTAAAAGTCTGTTTGGGTCTTTGGTTGATTAATAGACTGGTGTGAAAAATTGCTGCCACACCTCCCCCTCGGTCTGTGCTTCGAGGTTTCCGGTAGTTAGAATAACTCGGGGGTGTTGATTCATTTAAACTAACATAATCATCCTGCTGCAACCAGGTTTCTGTAAGGCAGAGTAAATCTATTTGTTGATCAATTATTAAGTCATGTACTAACAGAGACTTGGAGGAGAGAGACCTAATATTTAATAATCCACATTTCACCGTTTTACTCTTCGGTTCAGATGTGGATACTGTATTGTTCTTTCTTTGTGATTGTTTATGTTTAAGTTGTTTGTTGCTGGTTTTTTGTTTGTTTTTTGTCTGTTTGGGAGCTGACACAGTCTCTATGGAGATGGGTTTTGGGGGGTTTAAATTTGACCAGATTTCTAGAAATGAGAGCTGCTCCATCCAAAGTGGGATGGATGCCGTCTCTCCTAACAAGACCAGGTTTCCTCCAGAAGGTTTGCCAATTATCTATGAAGCCCACATCGTTTTTTGGACACCACTCAGACAATTTAAGGAGAACATCCAGCTAAACATGTCACTCCTGGTCTGAAAACTACATTTTCTAAACCATCGCTACTTTGTTTTATGTAGCAACGAAAGGTGGGGATTTCAGACGAAGACATACAGCTCATTAAATACATGATGGCTATACATGGGGCAGAATAATGGAGTAAATCCAGTCTAAAGGATGATGTATCGTTACCTTTACACCTTACCCTGAACTTGTTACTATTTTTACCAGCTTCAAGGCTTAAAGGATCATGATCCTATGTCAATCCATTGTTCAGGGAAATTGTGTCCAGGAAACTCAATCCAATGAGTCCTTTGCCAAACCGGCATCTCTAGAAGTTACAGTCGTTTGCCTTCCCTCCCTCTGCTAACAACTGGACCACAGTTTGCAATTTAAAAAAAAGAGGAAGACAGTCTTGATCTCCCCCAATCACCTGAAGCTCAGGTTTACTGTCCTGAATGAACAACAGTCTCTTGTAGCTATCTTAAAGGCTGTCTCATTCTGTTCATTTAAACGTTGCATTTTTTGTGCCAGGGTACCAATTTTTGTGGTAGTGTTGTTTGAGGTTTGAAAACAACAGAGGTGCTGCCTTTTGAGAAAATGCTTCTCAGCTATTCCGATACTCCTGACACTGAAGGGATCATTAAGGATTTTTGCTTAGGCAGCAGCTGTCCTTCTTTTCTCCTAGATTGCCTGGAGATTTTTTAGGTGCTTTCCCAGCTTTGACAAATGTCCATCTATGATAATTATTTTTACTCAGGGCCTTTTTGATATAACGTTCCTCCGCTTCCATGGCTGCTGTGTCTGTGGGGAAGCTGTTTGCTCTGTGTTGTAGTGTCCTGATGACACTATATGCTCCAGTGGATGATGGGAATCTAACCTTAAATATTAGTCAGTGTTTACTGTACACACTGACTTCATATGTCCCCCATTACTGGTGGAAATTTCACAGCCTAAGAAGGCTAGACTTTTTATTTTTCATATTCTCCCTGGTGAACTTATATATAAGTTTAAAAGGCCGGTAAGCATCCTGGGGCAACATACTGTGTGTGACTGCTAAATAGAAAGCATTTAGATGTAGTGGACCAGGAATACAAACTAGGATCGCAGAGAAAACCAGGGAACAAGGGAGAACAGTATTGAGGGACGACACGATAATGAAGCTTGAGTGCTTCCTGTAGCATAGGATACACTTGACCATCCTTTATGATAGGGGAGGAGAAATCTGTCCCAAAATTTAGACAGGGGGAACAAAACTGAACCCAAGGCACATGAGACAGGGACTATCAAAATAAAACAGGAAAAGCAGAGTCAGGAGAAACAAACACACAGACACAGACTCTCACAGGAGACACCGGGATAAGACACAAAAGGAACGTAACTGACAAGAAACCATCAACCAGAAACACAAGTAAACTCAAAGACATAAAAAGAACTAAAACCAAGATTAAACCATATAAAACTTGAACTTTTATCTTCTTCATAATGCCAAGGAAAGAATCAAGAATACAAAGTTAAACTCAAAATGCTGACAAATAACAGCTTTTTACATTCCACTCAATGCTAACACTAGCACATGTCTCTCGTTATTGGCAGACACCATACAAACACTACTACAGTGGACCCAACGGCACACATATTACTGCGGGTGATTTTTATCAGGCAAACCTAGAGTCTGTCCTGCCTAGATTTTACCAGCATGTAAGATGTGTGACCAGAGGGGAAAAGTTTATACAAGCATAAAACACAGAGTGTGTTATCTCCCACACAGAGGCTGGTCTGACCACTTCTCTGTGATCCTCTCCCCTGAATACATCCAAAGACGTATACACAGAAGCAGCACAATTCCTCTGAGTCAAGTGTCTTTGGCAATAAGGACTTGAGTGTTCATACAGAAGCTGTTCTATCCATCAACTTCTGTGTGGGAAATGTAGCAGCAGAAAAATGTACCTGTGTGTTTCCCAATCAAAGGTCCTGTAAGCTGTCAAACGTGTCCCCAAAGCCCACAATTCCACTTTCGGGGAAGTATATAGTGCTGCCAGAGCTGACCTGAAGAGCGGAATCAGGAAAATTGGAGCATAAAAAATCAACTCTCCCATAATAACCTTTGGTAGGGTATCCAGCGTATTGTCAACTTCAGGAGGCAGACCGACACAGTCTGAACACCACAAAGACAAAGAAGATTATTCTGGATTTTAAGAGATTATTTACCAGAACAGACAAGATGAGAAAAAAGACAAGAAAAATATAAAAATTCCCCACTCACCCCTAGTGCTCCGATTACCACTGGGACCACTGTTACCTTCACCCTCCACATCTTCTCCAGCTCTTCTCTGAGCCCTTGGTACTTCTCAAGCTTCTCGTGTTCCTTCTTCCTGATGTTGCTGTCATTCACTTTCACAATGTCTGTCACGATGTCCACATTCCTCTGCTTGTCCAACACTACTATGTCCGGTTGGTTAGCCACTCTGGAAGTCCCACCGAATCTTAGCTCGGTCATTCCCCGCCATCCTTGGGGGCGTCTCCCATTTTGACCTCGGGACTTCCAGGTTATACTCGGCACAGATGTTCCTGTACACTATGCCGGCCACTTGGTTATGGCGTTCCATGTATGCCCTGCCTGCTAGCATCTTGCACCCTGCTATTATGTGCTGGATTGTCTCTGGAGCATCTTTACACAGCCTGCACCTGGGGTCTTGCCTGGTGTGATAGACCCCAGCCTCTATGGATCTTGTGCTCAGAGCTTGTTCTTGTGCTGCCATGATTAGTGCCTCTGTGCTGTCTTTCAGTCCAGCTTTGTCCAGCCACTGGTAGGATTTCAGCCACCTCCTCTATCTGTCGGTGGTACATACCGTGCAGGGGCCTATGCTTCCATGATGGTTCCTCCTCTTTTCCTGTGTTTCTGCTGGCTGAGGTATTCACTAAACACGCGGTCGGTTGGAGCGATCTTCCTGATGTACTTGTGGATTTCCTTTGTCTCATCCTGGACCGTGGTACTGATACTCACCAGTCCCTGTACTCCTGCCTTACACCTAGCGTACAGCCTCAGGGTTCTGGACTTGGGGTGAAACCCTCCATGCATGGTCAGTAGTTTCCTTGTCTTGTTGTCAGTGGCTTCTATCTCCTCCTTTGGTCAACTTATTATCCCAGCAGGGTACCTGACCACAGGCAGGACGTAGGTGTTGATAGCCTGGATCTTGTTTTTACCGTTTAGCTCATAGGTGTCAAACTCTGGCCCGCAGCCTAATTACATTTGGCCCGCGAAGCCATACCAAATTACTATTAGAGCTGGCCTACTGGTATTACACAGCTAATATATATATTGTTTAGCATTAAGCTTTGCTTGTT